CAATTTTCGTATTGAAACGACATCCATATCGTTTTCTGACCTGGGAACTATATCAATATCGTTGTAGTCATTTAAGGAAGCAATTGTATTTGATACTGAAACGATATCTAAATAGTTTTCTGTTTCAGAAACAATTTCAATATCGTTTTCCGAAGGACTGCATTCTTGTACTTGAACGACATTTATAACGAATTTGACAATGCAAACGTCGTTTGCCTTTAATTTGGAAAAAATAAACATGGAATCATGTAATAACATTAATTTCATTCCAGTAGTACAAAAAGGTTTCAATGGCTACAAAATCTAACAAAATCATTTTGTACTTCAAATAAGTACAAAATCATAAAACTACAATTTACGACAATATTACAAACTTAAGTTTCAATTCCAGCTGCTTGGCTCGTGTAGGTGGTTCAGACATGATCGGTTTTCTTGCACCTACTGCACTTACGAGGCGTACTAGTCTCTTCGGCTGATCTTTTCCTCTTTTTTGCTGGTCGTCCACCATGTCTTCGTGCCATTGGTGGAAATACTTCTCTAGCCATCACATGTTTGAGAATTCTCCATTCGACCTCATTTGGCAAAGGGTATACGAATGCAGAATATACTTGCTTCCAACAACTAGTAGTATAAAAGGGGCTACATAGGTTGTAGCCGTCACCTCCTTTTAACCTTACGATAGCAATTACATACGGACATGGGAACTTTTCCGAATCAAATTTCTTACACGTATAAGTCTTTTCATCCAAGTCCACAAAGTGGTGTTCTAGATTATCACTAACTTGATAAATGTTCGTAGATACCTGAATGACCTCCAACCCATTTGACTCATTATATTTCATACACATCTTTTTCTCTAAAGGTGGCGTCATGTGGGTCACACATTTTTCAGCTTCAACATGTCTTTCATAAAACCACATTTGCTGTATTTCTCTGATATATTCTATCAAATCAACTATGGAAAATTCTCTAGCACTCTTCAACAAGCTGTTTAGAGATTCCGCATTATTCGTAGTCATGATATTATAACGTATCCCAAATTTTCTTCTAATATGTACTCTTTGATGCCTTTCTTTTTATTGCACAGAGTTGCCATGTTGGACTCAAATTTTGTTACAGTATAAACCTCCGATACTACCCTAAATAAAGTTGCAAGATCACTCCGTGAAAAATTTGTCTTGAAGTTCTTTTGCAGGTGATATGTGCAATTACCATGATGAGCAAATTGAAAAACATTTTTAACTCCATTTTAATACATGTTGCACGGTCAGATATAATCATAAGCTCGTCTGTATCACCTGTTATTAACCGTAACTTTTGAAATAACCAAAGTCCAGGATTCATTATTCTCCAAATCAACTACTCCCCATGCGAGTGGAAATATTTGAAAATTTGCATCCTGATAAGTTGCTACAGGTAGAGTATCTTTCATTCTTGATGTTAAGAATGTACCATCTACAGAAATTACTCTTCGTATTGAGTTGAGGAATCCATGTATACTTGGTCCCAAAACCATAAAAAAGTATTTGAAGTGCCGAACATTTGTAGTACGAATGAATGTCAGCGTACTAGGATTTTGCTTATCCAAAACATAACAATATGCTGCTAATTTTGCATAACTTTCATGGGGTTTTCCACGGATCAGTTCGCAAGCAAAATGTTTAGCCATATACGCATTAGTATAGCTTATGGTTATGCCGGACTCTCGACAAATGTCTTTAATGATGTCCCTTGGTTTGTAAACTCGGTTGACATCTTGATACTTAGGGACGATGTGGTTTCCAATAATCATATATGAAGCATGCCTATGGTCTCTACGATGAACGCTCATGCAACAAGAATGATGACTATTGTACTTTCAAACTTCGAAAGCAGAACTTTCTACGATCTTGGATGATCGCAAACGCTACTTGCAATTTTTATCAATACAAATAATTGTATAAGTGCTTTTATTTGATTTCTTAACTTTATATTCAAAGTGTCACTTCACAGCCAACAACTGCAATTTGGATATTAGATCATATTTTGATGGAAACAATTGGTTGACTTGTACATCTTCATTTTTCGAAATTCTTACTAACGTTCCACAACGGAGCAAACTTACACTTGCAGATACAATCTGACTACATGGTTCATCAATGTGCAACTCCACACCATTTTCGTCTAGTACATGAGAATTATTTTCGCCATCTACTTTTCGGGGACTATCTTCATTTACGTCAAAATCATTACAATCTACAAATATTGCATCACCATTGTCATGGTTACCATCGTTGTCTATTCGAACATGTTCATTTTCACTGTTTATATTTGCAATTTGTTTTCCACCCTCTATTAGCAATAAACGTCATTCATCATCAAACTCTTCTTGATTTTCAACAACTTCATTCAAAAAGGTTACACAAAGAAAAATATCTTTACAGACATATACAAACCACTTCACATTATTGTCACAATCAATGATGATTGGAGCAGCTGGAGCTGTAGACATTATATAGACGAGAGCTGAAATCTCTATTTTGTATAGCCTTGTATCAACGTTCAACACCACTTTGACTTTATCACACAATTCCACATATTAAATTGTTTTCGCAACAAGAATAGATGTTGTTTTCCCTTTGCAATTCCCTATATATTTCCATGTACCTTCAATAGATTGCTCGTATTTAACTAGATAACAAATTGATATCCATATCATATCCGCGGTGTCCATAACTGTAATTCAACATAAATTTTTTATCACGTTTCAAACATCTTACAGTATTGATAACGATATGTATATCGTTATATATTGCAGAAAATGATATTTATGTCGTTATGTACAGAAGAGAATCAAATTTATGTTTTACAGTAAAACAATGACAAGAATAGCCAAACATGCCTTTACCAATTTACATTTCACTCCAATTAATACAAATAAGGGGTAGTGAAAAAAAGTTGGGAAGTAACTCATATCAAATTTCTAATCCAATGATAAAATGAATTCAAAATCATTGTTGAGAAATGAACACCATAAATATATATACAATAACATGAAGAAATGATTCAAAAAAATGAAGAAAAAAAAGAACTCAAATATTGAAAATTTATAATACATTCTCTTCTTATCCAAATGCCCAACAAGAATGTTGCAAAATTTAATTACTCACTTCACCCAAATAAGTGTTCATAGGAATGCGAATATAGAGCTTATTGTTTCGTTATGTGGAGAAAATGATGATGAGAAAGGGAAAACCCATTTAGACAGTCATTATAATGACTGTACACATAGCATTGTTCGATGAGAAATGAAAATGCATACCTGTACAGCCGATTCCTGTGTAAGAAATGGAAGTGGAATTCAATTAGGGTTAAATGAAAAACGAAATGGAATTTAGGACAATAATGTCTTTTTGTATACAAACACGTTTTAGTTATTTACAAATTGTATTATCCATTATATATATATATTTAGAGCTTGTTTGGTAGGAATTTTTGGGGGAAAAATTGATTTTGAATAGTGATATGATGGGAAATGTGTGGTTGAAAAAGAAGAAAAAATTATTGATGTGATGAAAAATATTATTTTATTAAAGAATGTGCGATTAAAAATGAAAATTGATTTTAATTCTCAAATAAAAAACAAGCACCCCTTTAGGCATTCTAACTAAAAAAAACATTGATATTGGGCTTTTTAATTGGTTTGACTAACTTTTTTAAATGAAAGCTCCTTTTTTGAAAGTATGGAGTTAAATGTTTCGTTAGCCATTGAACTTAGCACCATGTTAAGGACTACTCACCAAACTTCCAAACTTGTCCCGTTGGCCACTGAACTTCACTCCGTCCAACACCATCACTCACCGGCTAAAAATCGTTAAAGGAAGCGCCTACGTGGATGACGGAAAGCTGAGTTGGCCTGTTAAATTCGTCCAAATAATTTCTGGAGAGCCAAATCATACTCCACGTTAGCAAAATCTCTCCAGGTGAATTGTAGCTCTCAAATTCATACAAAAATGGCGGAAAATTCAACTCCTTCACCGTCTCCCCCGAAACCCTCCGCGCAGCCATCAACGACTTAGATGAACATGACAATTGAACCAGCAAATTCGCAACATTTTCAGGGTTTGCCAACCTTCTCTTCCAGTCTTCGCCATCACCTCCCTTCTTTTGACCAGAAAATAAAAAACAAATGGTGCAATCCAAGCAGCAGCAACAACAACAAATGGTGCAAACCCAACAATAATTGGTACAACCCCAGTAGCAATTGGTACAAATCACCCGGCAACAGCAACAACAATTGAAGCAATCGTAATGATGGGACAATATCAGACACAACAGGTCGGGATTTATGGGCAATGAATTTTAGGAGCGGAAATGCACTTCATCAACACCAGCAATTGCAACAGCTGCAGAATCAGTTGCAGCAACTACTTGAGCAGATGAACAACAACAATTTGACGCGGTCGGCATTGATAGGGCAAGCAGAGCACCAGCCCATGTTATCTGGTCAACCTGCAGCCGCTGCAGCTCAATTTAAATTCATCCAAATAATTTCTGGAGAGCCAAATTATACTCCACGGTAGCAAAATCGCCATTTTGTATGATTTGGGGGAAATGGAATCACGCCTTACGGGTTGGGTTTTAACAGAATGATAGAGCTGTTGGAGCTGGAGATGAAAGTTCTCAAATTCGTTGTGGCATGTTTGGATGCACATTTGCTTATTTGGCGATGAGTTGGCGAGTGAGAAATTATTTGGACGAATTTAACAGGCCAGCTCAGCTTTCCGTCATAGCCGGTGAGTGATGGAGTTGTACGGAGTGAAATATAGTGGCCAACGGGACAAGTTTGGAAGTTCGATGAGTAATCTGTGACATGGTGCTAAGTTCAATGGCTAATGAAACATTTAACTCGAAAGTATGGGGGTGCAAACAAGGTCTTACTTCAAGAGAAAAATGAGTAGCAAACACGGTCGGTCGTCCTCTGAAATCTGAAAAACACACTCTTCTCTGGGACAATCAAAATGGAGGAGGAAACAAAGAACAAGATTAACGGAAAGAAGTTAGGGTTTTGGAAATGGGCAATTGCATCCGTAATTTTCAGATTAATTCTGATTTACTTCCCCCAAAATCTCAATCTCTCATCCCGCCCGGAAGTCTCCACTCCGGTCACCAGCCTCCGCCGCTGTAATTACTCTCTCTCTCTCTCTCTCTCTCTCTCTCTCTCTCTATAAATACATACATACGTAAGTATGTATTTGCATTTTTGTTTGTGCAGTTTATATATTATATTTGTTTTTGTTTATTTGCTTGCAGTGGCGGAGGGATACTGGTTAAAGCAGCTATCAATGTCGCCTTATGCTGGTTCGTATAGTTTGCAATTTTAGTGCTTAATTTTGATCATGTCTGGCCCTGCTTATAAGTTTTTCTTTTGGAAAGTGTGTCTCTTGGTCTTGCTTTAAAAATCTTGTTTGGCAAAATAATTAACTTAAAACTTTGATTTTCATTTATTTTTAACACTGAGAAACATGATTTTATTCGAGGTCTATACGGTTTCGTGATTATTTTGGAGTGACAAGTGCAGGTTCAATGTACCACGGATCACCTTTATTGCTATCAGTTCTTGGGCCTCTTACTGCAATAAAGTAACAATTTAAGCTTCAATTAGCATCCTTTTAGTTTTAAATTTATGTTATCAGTAGCAATGGTTTTTGTACGTGGTTATCTGAGTATTGATGAATGATAAAATGTGATAATGCAGGGTCGAAGGACAGCCTAATCATCTTTTGTGCAGGTACCATGTCATTTTTTATCAAGACTTTTATTGTCATTCTGCTTTCCTTATTTTTTTTTCTGATTATCATTGGGTAAGAAATTAAATACCTATTTTGCTGGAAATCCACTAAAAGTATCATCAGATGCTTATATTTAAATTTGATCTGTTACTACATTCTTTGGAGAATCATTTAGACGAAGTATCAACACATGTTTGGAAATAGTTTGGTTTCTGTGATTGCAGATTTTATCTGTGCACTTCTGATTCGTGCCACTGGATGTATCCTTCAAACAGCACATGGTCAGAATTTGAAATCTTTAGGCCTTGAGACAATGCTGGAAGACATTGGTAATTTGAAATTACTTTTTTGGTGTTGTTATTGGGCCTGTACTTTTATGATTTCCCATCCTGCATTCTTCGTATAGGAAACTGATGAAGTTATTTTGCGATTGTTTCTAGAGATTATGCCATCTGGTGACATTGCTGCTCTTGTGTATTTATGGAACCCTTTCACCATATTCACCTGTGTTGGTTTTAATACATCACCTGTTGAAAATCTGTTCGTTGTCTTGTCTCTCTATGGAGCATCTGCAGGTAAAGAAAATTCTCCCACTTTTATTGTTCCTGGTATAATTCACGATAATTGGACTGAAATGTCAACTTGATTTTTTCCCAATCACTTTCAAGCTTCTTGAGTTGTAAACTAGATCTGCTGATTATTGCCACACAACATCCAGTTTATTTATTCTTGAAGTTTGTTTAGTATTCTATATATACTATATACAGTATTTCCAATTTGTCTGCTGATCTTTGTCAAGTCTTATAATATCCCACTTTTGGGCGGGTTTGCTACTTAACTCATGAGTATGAGGAAGTTTTCGTCAAACTCATGTATGAATCTATTTAGGAAGTCACGTGACCTATGATTCTTTTGCTTAATCTATCCAATTGAATTCTGCTTAGGGGCGCACTGACTGTTGAATGTTTCACACAATCTACTAGAGTGGAAATGTCTACTACGTGCACTGAAATCCTTGTCATCATAATTCATAATCAGGGCTAGGAGAGTTGGAAAGTAAATTTATTGTTGAGTTGCCTTGCAAATGATTTCATCTTCCATCCATGAGGTATATTTAGTCTTTAAACTCTTAGAAAGTAGAATAGGAAAAATGTAAATGAAATAGCTTTTACTGTTTTCAACCTCATTATATCCAAAGGTTTTAGGTATTTTATACTGCCCTTGAGCTGCATATGAAGTAATCACCTAATACCATGTCTACATATCACCAATCAATTTGAACCTTGTGAGACTTGAGGGGGAGAAGCCATTAGAGATGGATTTGCTTGAATGATACTTTGGGTAAACATTTCATCCTTTCCCTTTGTATGCTATGTTCTATATCCTGTGCTCAATGAAATCGAGGTACTATATCTTTGAAAACACTGTAATATTACGTATTATGATGATATTATTGTATATACATTAAAACTTAAGTGAAAATTGAATACCATAATTGAGGTTCATAGCCTGTCTCCGTTCTGTCAGGAATGACTTCCACAGGCCATTTTCTCAAATATTTGATCAGCATCAATTTCTATTTATTTTGAGGTCTAAACACATTTCCATATAAAAATTAATGAGCAGAGTCATATAAGATAATGACACATTGAATCATTACCTATCACGGTTGATGTTATGCGCAACCTAGTCATTTGATTCTGATGTCACAGGAATAGTGCCACTGGCAGCTTTTGGGTGGGTTATAGCATCTCATTTGTCTCTTTATCCAGTGGTTTTGGTCATTCCGGTATGTTTTCATCAAAAATGTTGTGCATAATAAAAAGTTTTATGCCAAATAACATTTCTACTGGATATTGGGTAATTTTGGTAAACCCATGTCCATTCAGGTGATCCTTTTATTAGGTTATTGTCCTGATACGCCTCCAAGAAAACTGTTTCTGCAAAGGGATTTCCAAAAAACTGGAGCCGAGAGATCAATCAAGAATCACGTCCAAGAGAGGCCATTGACAAATAAACCAGCAGAAGCAACATTTTTCTGGTGGCGAGTCATTCTCTTCTTTTTGTGGGCGTCCATATGGATAGCCTACGTCTTAATTTTGTGTGCAATCTCTGTAAAAGAGTATGGAGGTCTTCCAGAGATGTTTAAGAGGTGTGTTTCTATATTGTAACACAATTATTTATTTCCTGTCACTCCAATATCCCTAGGCATAATAATTGTTTCTAGATTACTCTTCAGTATTTATACGCGCTCTACTGATATTAAAAATAATAAAATTTTAACATATTGAAGTATGGCGCTTTTCCTTGCCATCCAGTTAGCTATTAATTTAATTGCATAATTTAAAGCATTCGTTTCATGTTATTTTGTAATAGCAAGATATGAAAATCATTGCATATGCTGATTTAAATTGTTAATTCTAATGTATACATATCTCCCTTGACAAATAAAACAAACTAGATGATTCTAAATATACATTCATTATCTTCAAACTACTTTTTTACACTTAATTTTCACTTTAAAGGAAAAATCAGGTGAGTTACTTTTTCCCTTTGCTATTCTGAATGGCAATACTCAATACAGTGCTCTTGTATTTAGAGACAGAGCCTCCTTATGTCTGGCTCATGGCAAAATTGGCAAAAGAAGAAATTTATGACCCATTTTCAACCCAAATATTTTTTTTATTCATTTTAAGGATTGAATTAACCAGAAGCTGCTTGAAGAGAGATTTTGATCATTCATTTATTGTTGATACCTTGAAGTTTATTATTCAATTACATACTTTTTTATTTTCATAAAGATTAAAATTAATTTATGTTTGAATTTTTTTATGGTGTATAGTATATGTGTTTAGTTGATTATTGAATTTTTCCTTTCAGTTCTATTCTGGTTCATCCTTGTTGAGCAGTTTGACCCTTATCATTTTTTGGTTCAATATCAGTTTGGTTTTAAAAATGTAGAATAATACTAAAAATGTATGGACTTTATTTGGGCTTAATTTTTCCCACCCTCCACTCTACAAACAATTCCATGCAATGCATAAAGTTATCTTCCATAAAGTTGTCATGTATGACAACTCTTTACTTAGAACCTAAAAGAATAAAAAAGTTAATCTAGATTATTTTATAAGGTCGTTCTGATTTATTGATAACGTGAGCAGATCATAGTTGTTCATCATTATCCGTAATCACAACTATTGAGCAAGCATTTGTAGCATTAAAAATTGTCAAGATGGTCATACAGTAAAATAGATGATGAATTTCTTGTTGACTGAACAAACCACTATATTTAACGAGATCTTACTGAAAAGTAAATTTAGATTCTATGATAAAGAATAATTTTGTTCTGTAAAATCTTGCCAAGGCAATTTTAAAAGGCAATATTTTATATTGTGTAAATCCCTGGTTTTGACACATCATTAACGTTTTCTAGATTTTGGCCCACCCTAAAATTTGATTCTAGCTCTATCCCTTCTTGTATTGATGTTTGTGCCTTCTCAAATGTTATGTATATTTTTAGTTCAGGGGTTTGTCCCTTAAAGCATGATCTTGTATACTTGCCCAGAGGATCATACGCTTTAGACATCTCACTAGATATTTGCCTAATTCTTTTGTAGCATTCAGCTGCGTTTATATGATACTTGGGTGCATATGCCATGTCGTATAACTTAAATGATGATACATATCTAAGAATTTCCGCATACCATTGTTCTATACAGTCCATCTAAAGCGAGTAAGAATGTGCTGCTTCATATGTGTATGCCATTACTCCTTTTGCAGGACCTATGGATTTATTCTCACCGTGAAAGATTTATCTCCAAATATAGGTGTCTTATGGTTAGTTTCAAGTCTTGTCCATTGAATGTAGATTTGTTTTGCCTGTCTGTTCAACTCTATTAACTTTAAACATATTCACTAACTTCATTGCAGGTACTTCTTTGCAGAAGTCTTTGATTTTTTCAGGAATTTTTTCCTGATAGTTTTCCATGTGAACATCCTTTTCATGATATTGCCATTAGCCATACGGCTAAACCATCGGCCTTGCTTTCTTGCTTTTGTTTACTTGACAATCTCTTCAATGCTTAAATCTTATCCTTCGGTGAGTTTTCATCTGTCTCTATTCCTGTCATGTGTTGTTTTCTATTGTTGAACCATAGTTCTTAACAAAATAATTTAATGTTGTCTGTTACAACATATTGATCTGTTTAAATAGAACAACAACGTGAAATCATGGGTGGAGGCGTGGAGTCCATGACATTTTTTTCCTTCCCCTTTTTGGATGGGACGGGATGGAGGAGAAAGAATCTGTTTATAAATCTTGCTTCTTTTATATTAATTTTTTGTTGTAAAAACACCTGCTGAGCTTTTACTTAGTAAGCTCTTTAAACCTTCTCGAGAGCCCTTGAATGTACAAATTTGATTTGTTATCAATTGAAGGAATATTGACTTAGTTTTTGAAATTAAAATGGTTGTATGAATAAGAAATAAACAGAGTTTCTCTTATTTGTATTAACANCCAAACGATAAATACAAAGTTGTTAATTTGTTATTTGATAGTTGTTATCTATTTTTTGGATAAACACTAACTATTGAGAGTTGTTGATCTTATTTTATTATGAACCCTGAGGGGTTGCTCAATTGGTCAGGCCTTGGGTTTGCTCCCCAATGGTCACCAGTTCGAGTCCCCTCAGGGCCACTGAGGTGAGTATCCGGCCGTAAACTTCAGGGCCCAATGGAACTAGTCGAGGTGCGCGCAAGGTGGCCCGGACATCCACGGTTATAAAAAAAAAAAAAAATGAGGGGCCTCCTCTTACAGGACGCTGACATTTAGTGGAATAGTGAAGCACTTGGTAATGTAGAACTCTTGATTTCATGCACCTGTTTGCTAAGTAAAGAGGAGAAATAGGGAAAATATTTATATTCGAGCTAGTATTGTAATTGGAATATATTTTATGTTTACTCTGATTATTATTAATTATTGCAACCCAAAATGATTGACTCCTCGAAGAAGTGTTGGCATGAAATTTGTTTTGCATATGATGTAATCATCGAGTACACTTACTTTATATAGAAATAATTTTTTTTCCCGCGGGGTGCGGAGGGAAAATTATCTAGATTTCCTCCCGTGGCTATGCTGGTAGTGGTAGCTCAACTTGGTTAGCAGAATTCTTAAATAAAGAAATTTTGATTGGCTTGGAATTGCATCTCTCAAATAATTGGCCATGTTGTCTCATTAATCATTTGCTTCAATGATCAGGTCGGGGACTCAGCTCTATACTTGGGTATGATGGCACTTTTTGTTAATGAGTTAGCAGGTAATTTTGCTGCTGCTTCTCCTCCTCCTTTTTTTTTGGGTATATTACTACTACTAATCATTGTATTCTTACCCAGATGAAGATTCTGATATCTTATAAATTATTTGTTATGCAGAAATGCAATTTTCGTTCTTCCTCTTTTGTGGATATGTGGGAGTATCACTTCTGAGCCCTGTGATGCACAACCTATGGATATGGAGGGTATGTTTGTGACATTTATACATACATAGGCATGGGCTTTCTTCTGAAGTTATGCATAATACATAATGTAGCTGATAATAATCCTTGCTGGATATCTTAACTCGATGGAATTTTGCAGGGTACTGGGAATGCAAACTTTTACTATGCAACTGCTATGGCGTATGCTTGCTTTCAGGTTTCTTTCTTTTCAGTTATTCTTTGATTATTAACCTATTAATACTTGTATGAATCTGTATCTTGATTTCAACCTTCGTAGAAATATGTCGATGCTCTTGTTATTTTCTCAAATCGCCCATCTTATGGAAAATATTGTGTTTGACCTGTGGACAGTGAGAAACAATTCATAAAATTTTAATTTTGTAAATGAACTCTTTTTGGTTGGAAAAACTGTTTAATTTTTTATATACCAATGTCTCAAAAGTGATGTTGGCTTATTGAAATGGCCTTGTTCTTTGATATGTTCTAGTTAAAATTCTATAAGATTGAACCCATTCAAATTTTTTTATATGATGCTAGTTCTTTGTTCATTGTACCTGGTGGACTATTCATTGCATATTACTGTTTTAAGCATATACAACGTCAGTTTATTTGTAACATGGGATCTCACAATCAAGAAAGGTGGTTTGCAAACTATATAAATTATCCTGAGTATTTGGTTGAGCTTTTCAAAAAAAAGTTGAAACTTTATTTTGAGCAACTTTGTGTTTTCAAACATGTTTGGATACATTATATTTTCCAAGTAAAAAAGTTACTTATTTTGAAGGTAACGCTTACCTTACTATCAAAACAAGCAAACTTGTTCATTCTAATACTTTTTACTTGCGTAAACTTTCTTGAGCTTAACCAAACACGCTGTGTACTAGTTAGAATCTTTAAGCTGTCATATTCTCTTTTTATTCGTGCTATTTAATATAATGGTTTACTCGTTTTCTGTTTGCCTGCAGATTATATTGGTAGTTGAGAGCGTTAGTGCCATGCTTAATCATGACAGAAAGATCAGAAAACAATGTAGAACTATGGAAGGTTGAGGTGTCTACTGCTTTCTAATGATAACAAAATAAAAGATCTTTTGCCAATGTCTCAGAGTATTTCTGGCCCCTTCTCTGGTCCTGGTGCTTTAAGGACATCACCTCATTGCACGATGAACTGCTGGAATTTCATTTGCAACAGGTACCTGGATGTCTTTTCTGGTTGGGATTCGCTTTCTTCGAAGTTTTTGGAGCGTGCCCCCCCTCGATTTATATTCTTACTTTATCCTTCAAATGTGTTGTACCTAAATACAATACACACTTGGTAGAAAAGTAGTTTGGGTAGATTTACCAGGAGGGAAAAAACTTAGTAAAGATCATCTGCAATGATGCTATCTTCCAACCATCGATCTGAGTTGCACGACCTTCTTGTTGTGGATTGTGATTTTCTCTACCATTTCATGTATCGATCTTTTTGTATTTGATGTTCTTTTCTTGGTTGCACGTTTAATTGCAAGAAAGATTACTTGGGATTCAAACTTCTTATATGAATCATATATTAGTGCAAAAAAGTTATCGTTGATTTTGCGCTGTGATATAATGGATTTCAGTTAAAATGATAAATAGCGCAGCTATTAGATAATTCTCTCATTTCTATTGAATATTGTACTTAGCCCCTCCTTGATGGCAATTATTTGGTACAAACAATGTTTTGAATAGTGAATTTTTGGAGAATGCGATTGAAAGTAGGGAAAAATTTTGTGTTTACTTGCAAAATATTTTATTGTGTGGATGTGCGATCGAAAATGAGTATGTAGAAAAAAAAGTTTTGAAATAAAATTCTTCAAACTATGGCTTAATATGATCCTACTCGTGTGGGGTTGGTCTGGCCACTCCTATCTCAGCCCTGTTGGAGATTTTTGGGAGTGAGGCGGGAGCTTGAATCCTGATCATGAGGGCAAAATCCACTGGGGTATTTCTTTCCTTAGCCCTTGTTTGCGTTCCATTTTAAATATGTTTTGAAAAACAAATTACCATACCGAATACAATTCATTTAACTTTGTTTTGCATGAAAATTGTCAATAAAAGTGTTAATTTTTTTTTATCATTGTGTCTAAAATTTTTTCTAATTGCAAAAAAATAAAAAAAATAAAAATAAAAATAATAATAATAAAAGACAGATTACCTGGAAAACTATTTTCCCACCTATTAGGTGGGAAAATGAATTCAAGGAAATTGTCATCGTGTAAGTCAAAGTGGGAAAATGGATTCCCTAGAAAAAATCTATCAAACACATGAAAAGTGGGAAATTTCCATGGAATTGGATGGCTATCAAACACACCCTAAATCTATTGCCATGAAAATTGTTAGAAAAGAGGAGAGTGAGCTCATTTATTTCGTTAAAAAATTTCAGAAGGTAATGAGGAACTGGAGAATGCCTCATGAGAGAAATAACGAAGCCCCAAGTAAATTCTCGAGAGGTAGACATGAGAAAAACACCTCTAGGACTCCTGTTAAAAATCTCAATCTATCCAATGTCATGAGTGCAAGGGATACGGTCCCATTAGGAGTGAATGTCCTAATTTGAAGAAGTGTTCATGTATAGAACATCGTAAGGCCTTAGCTGTGACCATGAGTGATGAGGAGCCAGATTTTAGCTCTCAAAATGAGACATTTGGTAGCGAAGATGATCAAAAATTCATGGCCTTCACCTCAATTGCTACAATCGAATCTGACCGTGAGATTGAGAATGTTGAAAGAGAGAATGCAAGTGAACAGTCTGAAGAAGAGTCTAATGAAGAGACCGATATTCACGAGTCTTATCGTGAATTGTTTGAGGAGAGTCTCAAAATTAAAAAGGTCAATAAAGTCGTCTTGAAAAAGGTGAACGTGCTTGAACTTGAATGTGATAAACTGGTAGGTGATCTTCAGGACTCAAGGAGAAAATTGAGTGAGTTGAAGCTGGTCAATGAAAATTTGGAAATTAAAGTTAAATCATTAACTACTGATCTTGTTAAATCTAATGCACAACTTCAATCGTTTATGAGTGGTTCGCAGAAGCTAGACACTCTGCTTGGGATGAACAAGCCCGCAAGTGACAGGCATGGTCTGAAAATGAGTTCCATTTTCCATGAAAAATCTATGCTATCAAATATAGCCTTAACAAATTAGAAACCCTACATAAAAAATTAGTATACATACAGAAACTATTGTGCAAAAGTTATGTACTAAAATCTTTCTTGTCAACCGCATGGTGTTGTGATCGAAACAAAGTAGAAACCTCTCTTGTAAGTGCTTGTTTTCACAAAAGGCACCATATCTCACAATCGAGAGGATGCTTGGTGGGAATCGCTCGGACACATTGAGTACATCCTATACATGCGTCACAATGACATAAAATCTATGTAAAAGTATACATATTTATGAATCTATGACTTATTTGGTAAGATAAATTATACATGACATATTAAAGAAGAAAAAAAAAACTAAAAATCTTATCAATTGTATTGTCAAATCATGTCTAACACTGCGTTTCAAACATGTTCTTAAATTATCAAGTGAAAAAGGGAGGCTCAGTTGTTCACTTGAGCATATGATAATGATCATTGTCTACCCAGAAGACATTCTACTACAACCCATCATCTATATATAATGTAAGTTAAAGACGATGAAATACCAGAAAACAAACAAATTTTTTTGAACTTCAGCTTCTACATTAACATGTACAGAGCACTACAGCCCGTATAACATTTCTATTGGCTAGATGTATGTACCAAAAAATGGTCCTATGATGTGGCCAACAGAAAATTAGAGATTCAAGTCCTTGTAGATCGAATCACAATATACTCGAATCCGACCACCAGCTATATTGATGAATCAATGTAGAGGATGGTCCACAACATTTTATAGGAGGTTGTTATAATTGCTTGGTGTATAAAAAGGGGGTTGACCGTTGAGTGTTGCAGAGAGAATCAAGGTTTACTTTGGATGTACGAACTTGCATTGTCCCCCTAACGTAGTGTTGTCAATGGGCCGAGTCGGCTCGGCTCGGCTCGTTCGTGGACTCGGCTCGTGGGCTCCTTCCCACGAGCGCTTGCCTCTTAACGAGCCGAGCCGAGCTCGGGCTCGTCTTTTGACGAGTTGAGCGGCTCGTGGGCATAACAGTACGAGCCGAGCGGTCGAGATGACGAGCCGCTCGGCTTGATTGACATCTCTACCCTAACGTATGGAGTGTAGGTTTTTTATATCTCATGTTAAGTGAATGGGGTCCGTTCGATGGTATAAGATCTAATGGCTCTTATTAGAGTCAATCAATCAATCAGCCATCAGTGCTTAGATCCCTTTATCTTTTCCCGTGACACAGGATTTGACCGTGCAGGTGTGTAGAGACGGCAGTGGCAGGGTGTTGTCTTGTCAATCATTTCATTAAGTCTGCTGTTGGTTGACTCACCGCCTCGTTAGAGGATCCCCGTTGCCTCTGCCAACGGGGGTCGGATGAGTAGCGTTTGGATTGGGATCTTTTCGGCATACACAGGGTCGAATCCCCTGTTTCTTATGCCACCTGTGGGCCCGTCAGCTTGCCACATAGAATTTATTTTACGATTATGTATATGAGTAACACATGACATATTAAAGAAGAAAAAAAGAACTAAAAATCTTATCAATTGTATTGTCAAATCATGTCTAACACTACGTTCCAAACATGTTCTTAAATTATCAAGTGAAAAAGGGAGGCTCGGTTGTTCCCTTGAGCATATGATAATGATCATTGTCTACCCAGAAGACATTCTACTACAACCCATCATCTATACACAATGTAAGTTAAGGACGATGAAATACCAGAAAACAAACAAAAATTTTTGAACTTCAGCTTCTACATAAACATGCACAGAGCACTATAGCGCGTATAACATTTCTATTGGCTAGATGTATGTACCATGTATTAAGATTTGAAGTTCCATCTTAAAAGGTCATCCTTATAAGTTGATTTATATTTTCATCTTTATTCGATATGATATTTTATCCCTTAACACTATGTTTCCTGAAGAAAAAAAATATTCGACGCGACCTTAGATGAGAAGGCTAGAACTAAATCACAAAGAAATAGCGACAGACTTACAACTCATTTGCTGAAAAGAGTCATGCCTCGTCTTTTGGCACGCTGCAAGAGTGAAAATAAGATTTTTCTTTTTATGTTTTTTTTATGAACCAAGCATCCCAAATTGATTGGACACACTTTGCAATTCCATAACCTTGCCCATGAAGTAATAATTAAATCAAACGTAGATTTTTCACAAATCTAGTTACGTGCAACTTATGTGCAGACAATTTTGGATTTCCAAGTATATAGTACAATCTCATCTACAAGCTTAAACGGTTATGAACAAATACATTGATTTTATGTGAATTTATATTTCAACATGCCCCTCATGGCATGTGCAATATTTTCATGAAAGGGCAGAGGTGACAGATCATGACAAAAATAATAGGGAAAGATACAAATTGAATATATAGAAAGCTTAGTGGAAGCAGGTGTCAATACCTCAAAACCATGAAAATGAAGATTTCAATTGCCTGAATTCAGGTGAGAAACTGTTAAGGGATAAAATCAATGTATGAATAGGCTTTTGAATATGTTATAGAGAAGAGGCACAATGAACAACCACACCACAATTCATACATAGGTTTGAGTATTTATAGGAGAGAGTAATTAGGTTGAATGGGCCAAAAAAATTACTTCAAAACAGCAAAATAGGGTTTTCGGATCTGCCTGTCGCTGAGCTCTCGTTCAAGCGAAAGTACGTGATAAGATTTAAGCTTCCATCTTAAAATATCATTCTTATTAAGAGGAGTATCCCAAACTCTTATAAATTGGTCTATGTTTTCATCTTTATTCGATATGAGATTTTATCCCTTAACATGCCTCGCAAGATGGTGGCTCGTTCGAGCAGATCATTCTTGAAATCTGTGTGCTCAATTTTTTTGAGTCTTAATTAGATCGAATTACTCGTTGGAGCTTAACGGGCTTTGATACTATGTTAAGATTTGGGATTCCATCT